GAGAGAGAGAGAGAGAGAGAGAGAGAGAGAGAGAGAGAGAGAGAGAGAGAGAGAGAGAGAGGTCCTTTCGGGGAAACCAAAATCCTCGCCAACTCCATTTGTGAATATTTGGCAATCCGGTGCAAAAAACTGATGGTGAAACCCCTCCACCCTCCACCCAAAACCCAGTCCGTGTAGCACTGCAGGAACTCATGTCAGCGGGAGTTCTAGTCCGCGGCCTTCTTTGAAGCAGTCCATTGTCCAGGGTCCTTGTTTAAAACTCCGGGCCAACACTCGCAGCCCGGAATATAAGACCATAATGGAGACATTATACAACGCAACCTCGCCACAGCTAGGGCAGCATGTCAGCAGTCAGCCACTGTAACATGCGCCGCTTGTTCTCTCACTCTCCGACCGTCAGCCTCAGAGTCACCTCTTCAAGCCAAGTGCACAACAGCTGCAGCCATGTTACGGTGGCTGACTTGGTTTCCAGTGGCATTCAAGCCTGGTTTCCAGTTTGCTAACTTTGTCTATCAGCTTGTCCGTCTCCGACTCCAACAGGGAGATCCTGTCCACTAGATGTCTTCTACTAGATTCGTCGTCTGACAACTTTTGTGCACTGACCGCTTCTGCCCGCGGATTTTCTCGACGAGCTCCATCTCCAGTTTCGTAATCCTTTCCTGATGCTCCGCTTTCAGTTCGTTCATCACTTTCTCACAGTTTAGGTCAATCTTTGCTACCCTGTGCTCAATCCTCCTCTCAAGCTCCAACAAAGCATTGGCTTCTTCGTTTTCCGGCTCAACTCTTGGTCTTGCAGCGAGAGACCCTTTTTGCTTTACTGCTTCCTTATCCATTTCTCCCCCTCTTGTCACTACCTGCACTATGCGAAACTCACCAAACCCTCCCAAGACCAGCAGGTTAGACTTTGCACACAGATGCATTCTCCGAACGTGACCATCCCATGGACAGGAGTAGGATGCGACTTGCTGATAGTTTGAGTCGCTCCAGACTCTTATTTCTCCATCTTCTGCTGCGGTAAAGATATAAGGCAAGCATGGATGAAAAATGGCTGACCTAGGCCACTTCTCGTGTGGCCTCCATTTTGCCAAGCAGACTCCGCTCTTATAGTCCCATACACATACATGACAATCGTTTCCGTCCTCGTCATGTAATGAGATCAAAAGCGACTTATTGCCAAATTCAATTTCATATACACACCCCAGTCAGGTGAGAATATGACCCAACTCTTACTGGTAGCCTTAAGTACAACTGTTACAGAACTCGGTGAAAAAAAAAACAATCTTTTGCTAGGCACCTATCCCTGTATCTAAAACCCCGGTGCGGTGGATGGATTGTAGTTCGTACAGAAGCTGTAGTCTTTGTAAAAATAACGGACCACACTCTATAACTTTGTGATGATTCAGAAGCCGATCATGAGTGAGGAAAACTTCACATTCCGTTACTGATTGCCTCGTGTGGAAAAATTGCAGATCATCCAACACACACCCATCATGGGGGACAACAGCGGAGAACCTGAGCTTCGCCTGGTGCCCAAATTTGAGAGGAAATCTTCTTGGACTTGTGGGTGCGTACTCATGAGGGGTGGGGGAGTGGGGCACACTTTCGATATTCGGAGCGGTGGGGACCAGCTCGATTTTGAATGGGCGGCAAAAATCTAGAAGGGTGTGTTTATGATGATGTAAACTGATCTCTTTTTCTTTATATATATTTTTTCCCAAGGCCGACCTTGAGGAACGAGCACTGAAGAGACGGCCAAGAGTAATTCAAAATTATTTCATTCATCTGATGGGGGCAGGATCCAAAGTGCAAATAGGAGCGTAGATTTGCCATTAAGGCGTTGCAATGCGGCCTTGGCAAGGTCCCGGTCGAGGGTAGAGGCATCCAAGCGAAGTCCTCTCTCGTGAGCGGGTCAAGCTCCTCAAGTCTTGACCACGGCGTCGAGTCCTCGAAAATCAGTGGCGAACTGACCGGATCACTTGCCGACAGTGTACAGGCTGCGCATACGCAATCTAAGTGCACGTGGCTCGGCTGGTCTAGTGGTGGTACCAGCTGGGCGGCATAATCCTCGTACGTAGCACGAGAATCAGCGACTACCGCATGCTCCCCGGTAGTGACATCGATTGCTAGCAAGGCAACCGGGTCCGGCGGAGTGAGGAGAGACGTCGCCCCTCTCCTTGCGTAACTCAGTTTCCCGAGTTAGCTGGACGGGTACGCGTGCCTTGCCCTTTTCGGGGCATTGTGCGGTCAAATGAGTGACTCCATTGCACCAAAGGCAGTATCCGTACTTTTGACGAAGGTCATAGATTTCCTTAGTTATCTTGTATGCTGTCCATGGCTGCTGCCCAGTTCCCGTCGCTGCCGTCTCTTGTGTCGCCTTGTTCTTCCGAACTCTCTTGGGACGCTTCGGCGGGAGCGCTGCTACAATTCCTCCATCACTCGAGGATGCTGCTGCAGCATGGAGATCGACTGTTTCTTCAGAAATCACGGCATTGTTATGTGCCGGTCGTTGATAGCCCTGCTTAGCCATATAATGCGGCTGAGACTGCCGTTCGTTTGCGGCCTTGTCATCCGTTTGGATGACCAAGTTCGCACGATCCAGGATGGCCTGGAATGAGGCGCAATCGTACTCGTTGCCGAGTGCGGTTCGCAGTCCTGCGCACGATCACGAGAAGAACTCGGATCGTTGGTTAGGAAAACTCAAGTCGAAGCCTGGCGTGGTCACTATCTTTTGCCACTTGGTTGTCCAGTCTCGAGTTGGCATACCTCCTTGTGAGGAGGTGTACACCTCGTTCATGGCCGCCTTCACGACGTTGCGGACCAGGAATCGAGTGAACCACAGTTGCTTGAACTCCTTCCACGTGATGTGCGTGTGGAGTTCAGCGATGGTGCATTTCTTGGTAGCCGCTAGGTGGTTCATCCATGCCTGTGCTCCTCCAATCAGTTGTAAGTAGAGCGCCTTCATCATGTCGTCAGCCGGGATAGTGCGGCATGATGCTTCTGTGAGGAAGCTTTGCCACCATGTCAAGGCGTCCGTCTTGTTGTAGTCGTCGAACTTGCTGATGGTGAAGTGCGGCATCTTGTAGTTCCTTGTAGCGGTGTCCGGTCTTGTCTGCAATTTGGTGATGCCCGTCTTGATGGCGGCCACCGTGCTGCTCATCGTGGCCGGACTAGTGAAATCACCTAGTTTGTCAATGATAATGACGACGTGATCGATGTGCTCATTGAGCTGCTTCGTCTCGTCTGTCGTGCAGCCTGGCGCTGCTGAGGCCTTAGCCTCGATGCTGTTGATGCGGGCGAGAGTGGAGTTCAACAACCGTTGTTGTTGCTGCTGCTGCGTTGCTGCGGCGCGGACGGCAGCTGTTAAAGCGGCCACCTCTTGCTGGTGCTTTTGTTTTTGCTGTAGTTCCGTGAGCAGGTGTGCCTGCAGCAGTTTGTTGTTCCACATTACTCCCCTCATCACGCTCAACATCACGGTAGCCAGGTTACTTCTCTCTGCCTCCGCCTGTGTCGGCTCCGCCTGCGCGTCCGTAGGCACAAAGAACATGCCTTGGAGTAGCGTTGTCCACTGATTCTCATTTTGAATCATGGACTCTGTGCTGGCGGCATTCCTTCGGTCTCGTGCCGCTGCATCAGCCTCAGCAGTCTGCTGAGCTTGGGCTGCCGCCTCATTGACCAGCCGCTGACGTTCTGCCTCTGCTGCCTCCTGTTGAGCCTTGGCGGTAGCTACGGCATCTGTGAATACTTGTAGCCGCCCAAGGTAGTCCGCCAGCGGTTCAAGGGCCCCTTGGACCGGACATGCGGGAAGAACTCCGGTGGTAACCGGTACTGTCAATGTTGTACTCGATGCCGCTAGAGTCGTCCGCCTGCTGAGTCGCTGTTGCTGATACTTGGTTCTTGGAGGTACCACAGAACGGGCACGAACTGCAAGCCTGGCACTGCGTCGTGGCAGTGCCCCGGTGTCCTGTTCCATCGACATCAGTGTGAACTGATGTGGTACTTGAGAGGTCCCGGTGGTCACAGAGTACGGGGAGGGTAGGGAGAGTGGGAACAGGGGTAGAACAATCACACAATTCGCAAACTACCCGGAAGTCGCAATAATGATTTCTTAATCAATATAGAAAAATTCGACTTTAGACACCTAATCAAGATAGAAAAATTAAATTTCCCACAACAACTCAAAAATTCGTAATAAGAAAATAATAACGAATTATTTAATCAATAAAGTTTAATTAATGATTAATAATGAAATAATAATTCTTAATGATAATCAATAAAAAAATGTTTGCAATAATGATTTCTTAATGATAATCCATAAAACTAATTTGCAATAATGATAATGAACGAATTTGAATTGTATCAAGATTAGGTATCCATTGAGATCATCTTTGAGTCCGGGAGTTCACCGTTAATTAGTGAACTACCCGGAAGTTGCAATTTTGAGGGTCAGATTCGGATTAGTTTGCCAAAAAAAAAAAATCGGAAAAATCCGGAGAAAAACACTCGAATTTTCAAAAACGTGAATTTTCGGGAGTTTCCACTGGCAAAATCCGATTTTTAAAGGCCTAAGTCCGTTTTCGGAATTTCTCAAACCAGGGAAAGAAAAAAAAAAAAATCGCGAAAATTTCGGGCCCAACCCTAATTTTCCGCGTTTCGGCGGAATTTCCGGATTTATGGTTCCAAAACGTTCGAATTTCCCAAGTTGATAAAAAAACCAAAAATTTTCGTAACCCTAATTTCCACTACTGCAATAAAACGGAAATGCCGATTTAGAAAACGAAATATAGGATTAAAATCAGAATGCTGAATTATAAAAACGGAAACTGAATTGAAAATCAGAATGCCGAATTAAACAGAGTACTGATTTCAACATGATCACGAATCAATAATCAGAAATCCGAATTTAAACAGAATGTCGGATTAGTATCAATTTATCGGAACTCAAATTAAACAGCATACGGGAGTAAAACAGAAATCCGAATTACAAGTCCGAATACCGAATTGAAACGGAAATGCCAAAATAAACAGAATACCGAAAAAAAATAAAATAAAAAAAAATTGCAACTTTGAACTCGATAGTAATACAGAGCTGATTTGGAAGATTGAAGAAGCAATCAAATTCCTAATCAGACTTACCTGGTGAGCAGATCCGTGAAATGGTCTGCTCCGATACCAAAACTGTTACATACTCGTGATTTCATCAACGAGTATGGGGCAGAACCAAAGATCAACCAATATAGGATGAGTATGTACGCAACGGAAGTCTGATAAACGGACTGACTCACATAGACTGACTCACACAGATATCACTCCACACACATACAATCGTGAGATGGTGGGGTCTGAGCCATGCATAGACGATGCTCAGCCCCGTACACACATACACAGATGAAGGTGGGAGGAGAGACGAAGGAGGTGGGAGATGTAGACAGCACCAGATGTCAGCGAGATAAAAACCAGTAGGTCACCGATATGGTAATCCAAAATGTCATCGAACAAGATCAAATGTCGCGGACAATAGGTCACCAATGTCGGAGATACAGAGTCCTAATGTAACCGGTGTCCAATCTGTGATGCAGCCGAGTATCATCCCCAACAATCTCCAAGTCTCAAACCCGGTAAGTACCACAGCCTCTTACCACCGAARYCCAACACTGATCTCTGTCCAACTAGTATAAGTCTCCAGTCTGAAGAAGAAGAAGAAGAAGAAGAAGAAGAAGAAGAAGAAGAAGAAGTCTGAAGTCTGAAGAAGAAGAAGAAGAAGAAGAAGAAGTCTGAAGAAGAAGAAGAAGAAGAGGGGAGTCGAGGAGGAGAGAGAGAGAGAGGGGACTGGCGACGGGAGGGAGGAGAGACCCCCCGGCTCCCGATACCTCAGGCGGCTATGGCCGCCGATATGCTCAGTCGCCGCTGCTGCTGCTCCGCTTGCGGCCGCTGCTGCGTTACTGCTGCTGCCGCTGCTCCTCGTACTCCTGCGCTAAGAATAGCGCTAGAGCTCTGGCGCTAACCATAACGCACCGCTTAGATTGCCGGTGGTTCGATGCCTCAGACTGAGGCAGGTACCGGTATAAGTACCAGTGGCCAAGAGGCCGGCCTCAATGCTGCGAGGCCTGGCCGTGACCTGAACCGTCGAGATCGACGGCTCAGATCAGATCGGCGGGCGGCCTGCTCAAAAGCACCACCAGGCCCAAAATGGGAATGTCGTTTGGGCTTGCCCGTCGGTCTGGTCCAAAAATGTGGCCTTTACGGCCTGCTGAACCCCAAGTCCGGGCCTTTAGGCCCTACTGTGTCCCTCTGGCCCTAAGTCGGGTCCGGTAGGACCCGTGTGGCGTCGAAGATGTAACAATAGTGACCAGATTAGTTCAGAAATCCACAAAAAAAAAGACTATTAGTTCAGAAATTGGGCCCGCTCTCTGGGCGGCTGGTAGATACATCCGGCCCTCCCAGCCATTCGTGGTTGGTCTAAGAACTGGTCCAATTTTCTGGCTGTGCGTACTTGTCTTAGACCGAGTGGCCTGTCTGTCCGCGATAGACAAATGGCCTGTCTGTCCGCAGTTATGACAAGAAAGCACAAGGTTGGAAGCCATGATTAGGAGCGAAATTGTCCCAGCCATTCGTGGTTGGTCTATGACCTGGTCCAATTTTCAGCAATTGCCGGTTTGGGGATGCACGTTTTCGTTCCCCCAACTTTCCTGAAACCTATTTTTGTAAATTGAGTTGCAGGCCGCACTTTTCTGCGACCCGGAGTTCCTTTTTGATAGACCCAAACTGAAACTGCATTTTTCTGAAGCAATTCCCCCCCTCCCCCCATAAAAAAAGAGGGCACTGGGCAGTACGTTCATGTCACCTCAGAGTATCATAGGGTGCAAAAAACAATGTGTCGGCAAAGAAACCAGGGGCGAGTTCAACAAATACAGCGGCTGTGGTGTCAGGCCGGGTGTCATATTTTTTTACTGT